TAATTAGAGTGAAAAATTTTGTATTTTAAATATACAAGTTGAAATTTTACTAGAATTTTTGCAAAAATTAAACATAACTTTTTAGATATAGTTCTTGCAAAAAGTTTTCAGTTAAAAAAAATTAGAATGAGAAGCATGATATCAAGATAAATTATTTAGAATTTTATACTTTTCTTATTAATTAAATAATATTTAATCAATCATTTTAATTTCATTACTAAAAAATCTGATCATTATAAAAATATTAATATTGCTAAAATAGTTTTGATTTATTTAATTGAATTACCACACTAGTACAGTACCAATTATAGCAGCATGCACAATCATATAAAAATCTTGATTTTTTTAAAATCTTTTTATTACTGATCTATATACAATGCATGTTTAATCTATTTTTATTATAATAGCAAATAAAGTTTATAGAATTTTTCATGAGGTTATATAATTAAATTATTTGCAACTATACTATTTTTTGTATATATATTATATATCTTATATATATGCTAGTTTTATACTCAAAATGCAATTTTTGTAGTCTATACTACTACTTTACTCAATCATACACCACAACTATTTGTAATATCATGTTTTAATTGCTATTGTTAGAATTTAAAGTATAGTATATTGTATAGTTTATTAATTATTTATATAATATATATATAGTTTTATTTTTTATTTATTAAATTATATAAAAATGTTTTTTATTAGCTATTGGATATTTTACTTGGGGGTGAGGTAAATGCTTATAATTAAACAATATTAGGTAATAAATGTTAGTATACTTATTTTTAGTACTATTATTATAGAATAGCATAGTGTTCGAAAATGGATTAAAAATCTCGGTTAATCTGAGATTGATCTGAATCCGATGAATCTGTAATTCGGATTGAATTCAAGAGTGATCTGTGCCAATCCAACGGTTTGTCACATATATTTGTTACAATATAAATGATAAATTCGAATTTATCACGTAACAAATTCGAACTTATCACTTATATTGTGGCACAAGGAGTGATACATTCGAATTTATCATATGACAAATTCGAATTTATCATATAGAGTGATTATATAAAGACATGATCTAAAATTAGGCCCAATCCCGCTCAATCTGGGTCCAATCTGACGTTTCAGGGGCCAAACCTAATTCGATGATTTGGATCCACACAAATCCAAATCCGATCCGTGCTGACTTTTTCAAACACTAGAATAGCAACTTAAATAATAGCACAAACTATTATTACAATGATTTATTTTATTATTACAATGGTTATTTCATTATTACAATGATTTATTGCTTTATTATATAACATTATCTTATAGTATTATAGTATTTTTGAAAAAGATTTAAAGCTTGCCTTTTTCTCCAAATTAGAAAAATATTAATATATACTTCATGTCTATTCTTTGGACATTTATATTATTTTATAGATATATTTGACTCTTCTCTTTAATTATTTTTTTGTATTAAAGTCTTATTCTTGTAAAATTTATTGATAATAAACTGTAATTTTATATTATATTTATAATGAGTTTATTGTATTTTTATTGTATTTTTATAGTAAAATTATTATTTTAAAGTAATATTTTTGATTTTTACTCAAGTAAATCTTTTTTTTTCCTTCGCAATCCTGTTTACTTTATTATGAGAATAGACTTTCATTCTTACAGACATAAGAAATCTAAATCTATAAGTGTTTTAACCAAAATATAAACTCACTTATGACGTACCTTGCAGATGCCGTAACATCTACTTGCAGTCAGTGCAAACCATTAAACTGCTGCATTTTGCCTAGATGTGATCCGCCTAGCAACACTTGGCCTCCTCCAGAGATTTGAAATTTACTTCATACTTATTTACTCAGATTTCTCGGCTGGCTGTTGTTCGTTTTGTCAAGATTCCCATCCTACAATACAGTTACAACTCCATAAGTATACACCTCTTGGGACTAACCTTAGCTATGCATTTAATAAGGATGTGCACTTATAGATATTACAAATTTATATTATACAAATTTAAATATCAATTAACCAATCAAATTGTAGTGCTAAATTGTAATAATAAAAAAAAAATTAGATGTTATTATTCATAATTAATAAAGCTTGGTATGTTGTTTATAGTAATCTTAGCTAATAATTAAAAAGCACTTGGCTAAATTATTTTTTTTTCCTTTATTATTATTTTTTTATGCAATTGATCTGAAATATAAAAGTAAATTTGAAAGGTGAATCTAATTGAAAGTATAAGTGGTCAAGTAATAAAAAGATTTAGAATTAATGCTTTGACATTTGATTTCAAATAAAATAAGCGATATATTTATTTTAAAAAAGTAATATACAAATTCTATTTTTTTTAAAATTATTTATATAATCACTTACTACGTAGTGAATGTTTATCTAATTTTATTAAGAATTAGACTCAGGTAAAAATTGTTACCCTAAATATATAATAATTTATCTGGATAATCTGGATAATTTAATAATATCCGGGTAGTAATTTTCTCAATGGGTCTAATCTTTAAATTTTATAACCAGCCACCTTTAATTTTTTTGATTTTACAGCTATTTTCATCATTTCTGAAACACCTGATAAAAATTGACTGAATGGTTTTTCAGTTAATTTGGTTATTATTCTGGTATAAATAGATTTAATAAAATCACAGAATTGTACGTATATATGAATATACTGTACATTACTTTTATATTAACTAGTGTATTATACTTTATATACCAGCTCTGTAGAAATTTTGGCCAACATTATTTACATAACAATTATACAAATTATAGTATATAAAAAACATGTTACATATTATACTTGTTCATCAGATAATTTTAGCATTATAAATATTAACATGTTCAATTTTGTTTGAATACTTGTTAAACATTTCTAAAATATATTTACTGTGTTTAGTTTGTGAGATAACATATATTTATCAAATTATAATGTAATCTATATACAACATAATTTATATACCAATCATACCAATATTACAAACTTAATCAAATCAACCAGAACATTATTCATTCAATATTATCAGGTGTTTTAAAAATTATGAAAATAGCTGTAAACCAGAAATAGGATCTTTTACACTCCTACTTATTCTTAAAAAAGTTAATTCTGAATCGTAATATCAAAAATAAACAGAAATTTTAATTAGCTAATACTGTATTTATTTAGATTACTTATAATAAAATTTAAATATTAAATAATAATGAATTAAATGTAAATCAAATAAATTGTGATTTCTTTATTTAAAGTAATCATTTATACGAGTCTGTTGAGCAGACTTGACCATTTGCACTCTAATAAATTTTTCAAGAGAATTAACTAACTTTAATTGCTCATCTGAGTCCTCTTGCTGAAGCAAAAAGATTTGAATATTTTCTAGATTATTTAATGCAAAACTACTACTAACAATGCATTTTCAACACTATTATTTCTTTCATCATCCATAATCTTAATGCCTTTATCATCTATATTTTCAGCTCCCTTATCTCTTCTGAATATATATGCAAACTCTTTAATAATCTGATTATCTGGAAGAATCTCATAAACAAGATTCTCCTTATTCATTATAAGGAATTCATCAACTTTCATCAAATTAAGAAGATGGTGCGTATTATTAAATGCATTAACAAGTTCATCAAGGCTTAAATCATTGGTTTTACGAATCTCATCAGATAATTTACGAACCTTGGAGTTGATGATATCTGGAAGAATTCTTGTATAGCGCCAATAGTTACGGATAGTCTCAACCTAAACTTCTTTCCAACTCTTTATTATATATTGAATGGCTTGAAAAACATTCATTTTCAAATCCTGAATAAAAATACCTGCTTCAACTTGATCTAACATCTACCTAAAAAATAAAAAAAAGTTAATGCATATGCTAAAATAAACACTATATTATCTTAAATGAGTGCTATTTCAAGATAATATAGTAACTAATTAATAGTTTTTATACTATAACTAACACCCAACAAATCTGAGTTGATAATGACGATAGGCTTTTTTAAAAGCTATAATGATATCTGCATCCATTAGTTGTATTATTGAGGTTGTATTTTCAGAGAGAAAGTGAATATCAACACAGCAAAGAGTCAACACATCTAACTTATAGCTAAAGTATTGATCAAGAAGTAAAAGAACATGCTTACCATTATATTTTCGAAACATTTGAGGATCAAACTCCTGGAGCCACTCTTGAAATAAAACCGTAAGCATCCAAGCTTTAGCATTATTTCAATATGTCATTGCCAAATTCTGAATATTTATATTTTAAAACGCTGGGAGTTGGCATACTTGCCAATTACAAAAGGGTTTAGTTTGTAGGATCTATCGGCATTAGCATATAAAGCTATAGAGAAGTGCTCTTTATTTTTTTTATGTTCTGCAAGGCATTGTGTTGCTAATATCTTATCCAGCTCCAACCTAATGCAATAAATTAGGTATTAAATATAAAAAAAAGTATGTATACTACATAAGTATTATAAAATGAAAAGACAAAGAAATCCTAAAAGATTTTCCTATTTTTTTTATTTTGTGATACTCAAATCATAATAATCCAAAATTTATTAGTAAAAGAGACCTGTCTCATCTATATTATAAATTTGGTTGAGAGGGTATCAAGCACATAGGTCATTCAATAATGGTAAGGATTGGGCAATTATATTCAAGTTGACAGAATCTGCTTCTCTAAAAGCTTTTATTGACAGACTCCATTCCTTTCCTTGAATTTTTGAAGCCACCTAGGAGAAAACTACAACTTATCTTCAGGGACTCCAAATTCATTTGCTAGCATTTTAGCTTTTTTGATTAACAAAGCATTGCTTAAGATGGTTTGATGCTGATATATTAAAATAAATTCTTTTAGAGCGAGCTCAAGCTCTAGTACTGCAACCAGTTTGTGTCATTTGATGTTAGAGTTTAAAACTTTATCAGTGAGTTGTTTTTCCTTAGCTTGAAGGATCTGAGTAATTGTAGATTTATTAATTTTGACTCTTCATTTATTTTCAATCCATTTAACATATTTAGGCCTAGTCCCTTTATTGTCTCTAGTATAAACACAAAACTTATATTTTTGTAAGTCTGTTAAAGTAACATTTTTTTGGTTATTATTAACATTATATTGAAGACTTTGTCTAAATAAAGAAAATGGTATTAGTATTCATATTCAATTAAAGTTGATTACTTGATTACAAGTTACATCACTACTACTAGAGTGATAGTAAAAATGTATAAGGCAGTATTCTGTAAATTCCCTAAAAGCATTATCTCTAATGCTTACCTTAACAATTTTTTAGATGAAAAAAAACCAAAAAAAAAAAACAAAAAAAAATCTGAAGCAGAAAAGATCTTTTTTTTAAAAACATATCACTAAAGTACCCTTATATGCTTTGTACTCTTAAACCATTATAGAAAAAAAAAAGTTTCTACAAAAAAAAAAAGAAAAGTTTTCACAAAAAAAAAAAGGAAAAAAGTTCTTAAAAAAAAAAATCCTCCATGTATTTAAGTAGCCACCAAAATAAACACTTTATAATGTTAATTTGCTTGATCAATGACAATGCATATACACAAGAGAAGAACGTACAGACTGCTTAATAATAAATGTGAATTAGTTAATGTTAAATGCACTAATTATTATATTGTCATATTACTTACTTTACTTCTTTTGCTTTTCTCACTACAACACCTAATTCTTCTACTCTAATGACTTCCACTTTACTCAAGGCAACTCAATATTAATTCTTAGATACTGGTGTTCAAAAAAAGTTAGAAGTGAAAGTTCGATCTTACAAATTGAACCTCTTTTATATTAACTCTAACCTTAAAATTTGATTGGGCAGAATTATCATAAGATTTTTTTTGTACGTGTTCAAGATAAGATCGTTTTTTATTGGATAAAAATCATATAATAATGCATTTATGAAGGGATTTAAATAATAAATATTTTAAAAAACATTGCACGTGCAGAATATAAAGGGTGTGTATTTACAATATAGTCCCAACTTGGGACCAAATATTAGAGTTCAATTAAGGAGGATGTGCATTTATAAAGTGTGCATTTATGAAGTTGTGACTGTAGAATACCGCCAAACTTATGACACTTTCTCGTAGAGAAGGAAAAAAGAAAAAAAAAGATAATAGAAAACAAAAAAAGAGGTAAAAAATAAAACTAATATATCAAAGAAAACAGATACTAATACTAAGAAATATAAAAAAAACAAACTAAAATCTAAAAGAAACTATTGCTAAAAAAAAGAAAATCTGCTAATCAGGCAAAAACTTCTAATTATACAGAGTCACAATCTACTATTAAGTGCGAGAGTCTTGACAAGAAAGATGAAACTAAAACAAAATGCACTATAACTCATGCTAGAGGCTAAAAATTATATACAGGTGACTAGAGGATGTCTGTATATTTCATTTCACTTTACTTTACTCTTTCAATTAAATCTATATCTTCATCTAAAAGTATAAGAATTTTGGAATTTTTACATGCTCTATCTAATAATTATGTATTTATATGTACTCAACAACACGATATGTAAGGTATTCTTCTGAACACTCATCTAGTTACTAAATTTACCAGCACTGTCCATTTTACATGTATTGTTTGTCATCATGCAGAGTTTTTTAATATAGAAGTGGTAAATATTGCTGATCTTTTGGAGAGTATGCCAAATTTTCCACTTTTTGTCAAAAGTTATAGCCAAAAGTATAGAAGAGAAAAAAATACTATATTTGCAAAAGCTCAAGACAATGAAAGTGTTTCCAGTTGTTCTTCGTAGAACTAAAAAGCTTCAGACACTTGAGTTGGAGTTTTTCACTACTACTATTACCAAAATAATCCTTTTGGCTTAGATGTCAAACATGCAAGAGTTCCATCAAGAAGAAAAGCTTGACTCAAAGTACAAATCAATTATATACGCACGCTCTTTAGTGTTTCATATATAAGTCTTCGTCGACAACAATACTAATAAGGAACCTCAGATATCTTTAGACTTTTTAAAGCTTTTTTCAAACTGTTTTGGTGCAATCTTGGTTCAAGTAATCGTTAGAAAGAGTTGATGTGAAAACCTGCTTTTTTTAATATATTCTTTAGTTATTTTATAGTATTTTTATTATATTTTAGACTTTCTCTAGTTTTTCTTCTTTAAAACATTACTTAATCACTCTTATATATTAAGTCAAATAATATATTTGTTGTTTGATTTAACTAGCAACAACATATTTTATCATTATTATATTTAAAATTAAATTAAGCCAAGCAGATATATTACAATATAAAAAATCTGCATTCTATAATTAAAACTTTTTTCAAAAATTTTTATTCCAAAACTGTATTTGCAATTAGACTTTTTATAGAACTTTACATTCAATTATAGCTCAATAAGATTATAGTAGCAAATTTAAAAATTTGTTACTAGCTCAATTCAAATTGTTAATCTTATCTGTAGGAGTTTGGAAACTTAATAAATAATTTACAAAGCCTAAACCTCAGTACTAATAAATTATTATTAACACAACTCTTCCAATGATTACTTGTATCAAACTTATAGCTAATAAAAACAAAAACTTGTTAGAGAAAAGTAGAAGAGACAACTATACAATAGTAGTTTTTATATAGGTCAGGACTTTTGCTCTTTATCTCAGACTCTTCTATATATTCAGCATACAAGTTAAAAGCATTTTTGTACAAGATAACTGGCAAAAAGGTGGTGTCTTTATACAAAAAATTTTAATAAAAGCATTGCTTCTGCTGATAAAGTTAGATGATAATTAGTCTTAAGGAGAATAACAAATAAGTTTTCAATATACTTTTTACCAAAGTTTAAAGATATCTGCAAATCGAAACCCTTCACCAAACTTCACTCTTTGCACTTTATGAAATTTTCACCAAAAAGTGAGAAAAATAGTGTATCTCCAACAAAAGATTAATACAGTAATAGCTACTAAAAAAGAAAATATATGTACATATATACATATCTACTTTAGGATGAATAGTGTCAAATAATGTGATAACTAGGGTTCCACAATTTGATTTGATTTGATTTGATTTGATCAAATATTCAAATCAAATTAAATTTAAGTCATAGATTTATTTGATTCGATCAAATTCAAATTGACAAAATATTCGATTTGATTTAACAAATATTTGAATATTTGAATTGATTTGAAGTAAAACTATAAATTTAATAGCTATTTACGCAAAAATTTATTATAACAACTGCTATTTACATTCTAATTAACTAGGGTATTTTGATTAGAAGAACAATTTTTGCTTAATATATAAAATTGATTAGCTTAGTAAAATTTTGCGTAAATTGCGATTTTTGAAAAGTGACAAAATTTTCGAAATTTTTAATAATATTCGAATATTATTTGATTTGATTTGATTTGATTCGATCAAATCAAATTCAAATTAAAGATTTATTCAATTCAATTAATATTTGATTCGATTTAATTCAACTTTGAGGAACCCTAGTGATAATGTTTGAAACACTACAGAAGACCCGCCAACCTAGTTAGAATAATAACTAAAAGTTTCGACCTTGGAGCTTTACTTCAAGACTCGATAGTTTTTAATATTTTTATATCCTGGATATAGATATAATAACTAGCATAGAGTTTAGTTTAGTTATTTGTAGTACTATATAATTTTTACAATCTGGCATGGGTTTAATAGTGCTATCTTTGTTTTTTTTTCTTTTGTTTTCTTTTTTTTTATTATTTGTTTGGTTTGGTTTTATTTGTTTAGGTGGATCAGAATTTGATATAAAATATTTTTTCATTTTTCTTTTGCTCTTTGTATTTGTGTCTGTGCTTTATTTTATAAAAAGAAAAGTCAATTCTGATATAGTGTATAGCACCCATTGTTACGACTTAGGGAGAGCTTTTATATATCCAAGCCAATTTAGTCCAGTGCTGTAAGCATAAATTCTGATGTAGGTTGCACAGTCCGGATCCGTATGTGGTAATAATTATCGATTGGGGTAAGTATTGCCGCTTCAATAAGA